ATAGTCTTCACTTGCACAGTTATTCAAATTCAACTATTTTTCTTTAGTCTTCCTTATTCAATATTCAATTTTCACATGCCTAAGAAGTCATTGAAAATACCATCGATTGGGCCAGGTGCACCTTAGTACTCAAAGGAATATCCTTTCTTTTCAACTCTTTAAAGAGATGTTGTGCATAAAGTGGAAAATGAGTTAAATTCTGGGTAAGGGAACCATTTTTGCTCACTGGTCCTGGTACACAATGGTATACTCCCTTAATCTATGATTGATGAATTTCCACTATAAGTCATTTTGTTCTCCTACACTAGGTTTCCTAGTTTTGAGAAATAGACAGGGAAAAGAATATGTGGGAAGTTGTCTATCCACTCAGGTCAAGGTTGGTGCTGGGGAAGGCCATCAAATTTGTTTGAAAATTAAAAAATAGAATAAATGAAAAGAACCACATGATTTTCTCTATGGATGCAGAAAAAGTATTAGATAAAATTATTTCTTGACTAAAGCCCTTAGGAAGATTGGAATAAATGGTGAGTTCTTCAATATGGTTAAAGGGACATGTTATAAACCAAAGCCAATGCTATTCTTAATAGAAAATATTTAAGAGCACCTGTTATTTATTTGTTTTTTTCTAACAATTCTGTGATAGGGACTAGCTTGATAATCAGTATTTGGCAGATCTTTTTAGTAGGGTTTCAAAATATTTTCTTAATTTATGTAAATACCCTGTTAATAACTGAAAGAGAACTGTGCATATCATTCAGAAGTTTACTTTTAAATCTTTTAAGAGTCTGACTTGTCAGATAAAAATACAAAAGCTGTAATGATTCCACATTGCTAAGGTAAATACATACTCTAGTGTTTGAATTGTATTGGCAATGTTTCCTGCTCCTCTTTTGGTATCTCATTTTTATGTCTGCTAATATTTTCTAAGCCACCTCCTATGAATCCAGGATTGCATTCATAGCTACAATATGCACTACCCAACATGTATTATAAATATTTGATCATTTCCTAAGTATGTTTATTGAGAATTGCCCTGTTGGTGAGTAGAGGTGTCAAAAATTATGTATACAATCTGAATAATAAGAGGGGGGGGGAGCTACTTCCAGACAACAATTTTTCCTACAAGATTAAGTGATTGTGCAGCACATGGCATGAAAATAACATATTCATTACATTTTAACATTGTTCTGTTGCATACCTTATATTGTCATGAGACACACATATTGTTATAGGAATAGACTGCATTTAGAAAAATCAATATGACAAGCTTCCCATGAATAATGAAGTACTTGATTTGCAATTTCTTCACTGGTTTGACTTTAAGTTAAGTAGTACATAAATGTGATAAATTGTTTGACAGATGTACCAGCTGTTGAGATGCCTTAAAACACTACATAGCTGATCTGTATGAGAAAGATCAAGAGTGGAATCTGCAGTCAAATTGAAATACCTCCCACAGAATTGCTGGTGTTTCCAAACTTCTGACCTGTTGGTTAGCAGCCCAATACACCAGTGCAGTACACCTTCAAGGTTCTTCTAGAATTTAAAATAGTGTATAAAGGAATACGCATATACACAGGAAAGCTTATTAGACTAAGATACATGGAATATTCATTTATACAGGTTTAAAACTTAAATGACTTAATGAGGCTTAGAGTTTAGACACAAGACAATAAAATTTGGATAATGTTCATCCACTAAGAAAGAACTATACCTGCAGAATTTATTCATTTAACACATAACAAAGAGAAATGGAAGTGGAAAATATATGTTAGTCTTAGGTCACCAATTCTTGGACAATATTGAAAAGCAAAATTTTTGACTCAGAGTCTAATGACTTTGAAGTCCACAATGTTGGGATAGCAGTAATCTACTTCCTCTCACCCCAGGGTGTTTCAGCTTTAAATAAGTACAACAGAGTATTTCAGTCCCTTTAATAACACCATTGTAGTAGAGTCTCCAGTGACTGGTCTCTCCTGACAACATGTCCAAAGTAGGTGAGGCAAATTCTTTCTATGGAGTATTGTGATCATTCTTCTTCCAAAACAGATTTGTTTGTTCTCTTTGCAGTCCTTCGTACTTTCAATATTCTTCCCCAATACCATAATTCAAACTCATCAATTCTTCTTTGCTCTTTCTTATTAATTGTTCAACTTTCACATGCATGAGGCCATTGAAAATACCATGACTTGGGTAAGACACGCCTTGGTCTTCAAAGAGACAGTCTTGCCTTTCAGTACTTTGAAGAGGTCTTACGCAGCAGATTTACCCAATGCAATGTGTCATTTGATTCCTTCACTGTTGCTTCCATGGGAATTGGTTGTGAATTCAAACAAGAAGAAATGCTTGATAGTTTCAATCTTTTCTCTTTTTATCATGATGTACCTATTGGTCCGGTTATGTGGATTTTTGTCTTCATTACATTGAGTTGTAATTCATACTGAAGACTGCAATCTTTGATCTTAATCAGCAAGTGCTTCAATTCCTTCTTACTTTCAGCAAGCAATGCATGTCATATGCATACCACAAGTTGTTAATAGGCCTTTCTCCAATTCTGATTCCACATTCTTCTTCATACATCCAGGTTTTTTTAAATTATTTTCTCAGAATACAGATTGAATAAGTATGTTGAGAGGATACAACCCTGATTAACACCTTTCCTGATTTTAACTATGTAGCATTCCCTTTTTCTGTTTACATAACTTTCTCTTGATCCATATACAGAAGAGGGACAGTAAAAAAGAGGAAGACTCTCAACAAGATGGATTAACACAGTAGTAATAACAATGAACGCAAGCATCGGAACAATTGTGAGGATGGCGCAGGACTCGGCAGTGTTTCTTTCTGTTGTGATCACTATGGATTGGAGCCAACTCGACAGTGCCTAACAACAACAACAGAAGGGTCTATTAAATTGTGGTAACTGTGGGACACTTCTGAATGGCAGAACCTATTTGACCTTTTCCATTACCTGCTAAATGACAAGGTAATTCTATCTAAGGTGCTGCCTCTTCTTAGTATTTTTTTCGATGTCAAATTAGGGAATGATAAATAATTCATAAATAGTAGTTATTGCTTGGGAGACCATATTGAATGATTACAAAGGCTGAAACAGATGTTAGGCTTTGTCTTGGGATTGATTCTTATAGTGGTGGTCTCATATTTTATGGATCTTATTGTGTTTGAATAACTTGCTCAGAATAATGTTCTCCAGGTCAATGCATGTCCTGAGGAGCTTTGAGGTTTATGCATGTTTTTTAGAGATATATAGCATTCCACTGTTTTTATGTACCAGAGTTTCTTTATCTAATCTGCTGATAACCTTTTGGATTATTTCCAATTTCTTGCTCTTGTGAACAGTGCTGTGGTGAACATGGGGGTGTATTTATTTGTTAGTGATGTGTCTGTGACTTCTTTAGGTAATATGCCTGTCATAGACATTGCTGGTTCATATAAAATTTCTATTCCCATTTGTTTAAACTAATTTCATATCACTTTCCACAGTGATTGTACATGCTTACAGACCCACCAGCACTGGCTGAGAATTCCAATCTTTTTGCACTCTCTCCAGTATTTGTTGCTTTCCTGTTTGTTTGTTTGTTTGCTTGTTTTTTAATGGGCTATGGTTGTTGGTGATATCTCATTGTTTTGATTTGCATTTACTGGTTGGCTAGTGTTTTTTTCCATGTTCCACTTAGCCATTCAAATGTTTCTTGATGAACTGTCTATTCATCTTTTGTCCATCTTTTAAACAGGTTATTTTTCTTAATGAAGTTTTGCAATATTCTTTAGATTTTAGAGATTAGTTCTTTATTCATTGTGCCATTGCTAAAGATTTTTTCCCAGTCCATGGGCTTTTATTTTACTCTTTTGATGAAGTCTTTTGATGCATCTAATTGTATTGTTTTTAGTAGGTCCCAATCATCTGTTTTATCTTCTACTGGGTGTGCTTCTTTCACTATGTTTGGTAGTATATGTGTGGCCTGCAATAGGACCTTTAAGTTTGTCCTTATTTTCTTGTTGAGGATCTTTAGAGGTTCTAGGATTTACATTTAGTTCTTTGATCCATCTTGTGTTTGCTTTTGGACAGGGGTGAGGTATGAATCTTTTTTCATTCATCTGCAGATGGAGATCCAATTTTGCCACCACCATTTAATGTTTTTTTTTGCCCTTTGTTGAAGATCAGTTGTGTATTGGTGGATGCATTTATTTCTAGCTTTTTTTATTCTGTTTGGTCTACTTCCCTCTCATTATATCAAAGCAAGACTGTTTTGACTACTGCAAGTGTGTAATAGATTTTGAGGTAGAGTTGTGTGAGGCTTCCTAAATAGTTTTTCTTCCATACGAGTTCTCTGTTTGTCCTGGGTCTCTACTCTCTCCATATGAAATTAGTAATTTGTTTTTTTTAATTTCTTTAAAGAAAAGTTTGGGATTCTGTTGTGTTTATAGTTTACTTTATGTCATATTGACATTTTCATGACATTGAGCTTTCCTATCCATGAACATGGGTTAGTCTTCCATTTTTGTATTACTCTTTTGATTTCTTATACTAGTATTCTATAGTTTTCTTTGTATAAGTCTTTGTGTGTCTATTGTAAATAGTATTTTTAACAGTTTTTTGGGAGCTCTTACAGATATTACAATCCATAGTTCCATTAGATCAAACATAATTATAAAATTGCTGCCATCATTATTTCAATGCATTTTCCTTTTTTCTTGAACTCCTTTATATCAGTTCCCCTTTATCCCCTCCCTCCCCCACCCTACCATCCCCTGATCCCTCAACATATTATATATATATATGTTGTTGTTGCTTTACCATAAATTTCACCATTCCATTTATCCAATCACCTAAATTTCTGATTTTTGTTCCCTCGTAGTGGGGTTATACAGTCATCATTGCTATCAGTTCCCTTTGCCCCCTTCACAGCCCCCCTCCCCATATCCTGAGGGAGCAATTACTCCCCTGAATTTCTTGCATTGAAAGATCTTGCTTGTAGGAAAATATTGAAAAATTAACGAATGTGTATGTAATCCTTGTGAGGGGCCATGCTAATCTTCTCTGTATCATTCCAATTTTAATATATGTGCTGCCCAAGCAAGCACTGTAAATGCTATTTTTATAGTTCTCTTCTTCTTCTTTTAAAGTTCATGACACACGGAATCCAGGAACAGGAATGGGAATAACGGTACTAAAAGGGTCGGGGGAAGGGGGGAGAAAAGGGGACGAAGGGGGAACCAATCGCAATGAATGGCACATAACCACACACACCCCTCCAGAGGGAAGAAAAACAGAAACCAGAGGGGAAGGGAGACAGTGGTCTGCATGAGATATGAAAATAATAATTTATAATCTATCAACACCAGGCATGAGTATGGGGGGTAGGGAGGGAAGAAAAAAAGAGCTGATCCCAAAGGCTCAATAGAAAGTAAATGTATAGAAAAGAATGATGGCAATATATGTATAAAATATGTCTGATATAATTGATGTATGGATTGTAACAAGATTTGTAAGAGCCCCCAATAAAATGATGGAACATCCCCCCACAGAGGGGTCACAGGGAAGGGATGAGTCAATAACGGTGTAGTAGAGTACCAATGGATCACACAATATCCCTTGGGTTCCTTGAGGCTTCCTCAACCTCCCCCTCCCACTATCATGACCACAGTGCTGCTTCCCACTCTGGACTGGACCAGAACATGGACTTAAGTATAGACAAGAGATAAAGCTAACGACACACAGAATCCAGGAACAGGAATGGGAATAGTGATACCAGAGCTCTCTTCTTTAGTATACAGGAATCTAATTGATATCTGCTTGTTAATCTTATATCCTGCAACATTACCAAGTCTTATGAGTGTTTCCAGCCATCTTTTTTGATGACGTCTTTGGGATTTTCTATAAATAAAATAGTATCATCTGCAAATAGTGAGAGTTTTCCTTCTTTTCACAATTTTATTCCTTTGTTATCTTTTTGTTGTCCAATTTTTCTGCCTAAGTTCTACAGCATATTTTTGAATAAGAGTAGTGATAAGGGCTTATTCTCTGGTTCACAGGGCAAATGTATTTCGCTGTTGAATGAGATGTTGACCATTTTTTGTTTTGTATATTGCTTTTATTTTTAAAAAATACTTTTATTGGGGGCTCTTACATCTCTTATAACAATCCATACATTAATCAATTGTCTCAAGCACATTTGCACATATGCTGCCATCATCATTTTCAAAGCATTCTCTTCCCACTTGAGCCTGTGATCCCAGCTCCCCATTTCTTCCCCCTTCCTCCTCCGCCTGCCCTCCCTCAAGAACCCTTGATAAGTAATAGATAATTCTTTTCCTTTTTTTGGTCTTTCTTTTTTTAAATAACTAAATCATTTTATTGGGAGCTTGTACAACTCTTATCACAATCCACACATACATCCATTGTGTCAAACACTTTTGCACATTTATTTCCTTCATCATTCTCAAAACATTTGCTTTCTACTTGAGCCCTTGGTATCAGCTCCTCATTTTTCCTCTCCTTCCCCACTCCCCCGACCCCAATGAACCCCAATGTAAATTATTATTATGTTGTCATATCTTACACCGTCTGATGTCTCCCTTCTCCACCCACTTCTCCACTGTCTGTCCACCAGGGAGGAGGTTATATGTAGATCCTCGTAATCTGTTCCCCCCTTTCCCCTTCCCTTTCTTCCACCCGCCTGGTATCACTACTTGCACCACTGGTCCTGAGGGGTTCATCTCTCCTGGATTCCCTGTGTTTCCAGTTCCTATCTGTACCAGTATACATCCTCCAGCCGGATTTGTAAGGTAGAATTGGGATCATGATAGTGGGGGTGGGGGTGGTGAATGTAGCAATGATGAAACATACAATTTTCTTATAGTTCTTGAAGGCCCCCCCCCACTATCATAGATTATTATTTTTATATCTTACATAGTCCTCCATCACTTCTCACACACTTTTACATTGTTTGTTCCCCTGGGAGGAGGGTATAGATTGATTCTTGTGATTGATTCCCCCTTTATCCCACTATGCTCCCCTAATCCTCCTGGTATCTCTACTCTCATTGTTGGCCCGGAGGGGTTTATCTATTCTGGATTCCCTGTGTTGCAGGCTCTTATCTGTAGCAGTGCACATGTTCTGGTAGAATCTGATTTGTGAGGTAGAATCAGGTCATGATACTAGGGGGAAGGAAGCATGAAAGAACTAGAGGAAAGTTGTGTGTTTCATGGGTCCTATACTGCACCCTGACTGGCTCATCTCTTCCCTGTGGCCCCTCTATGAGGAGATATCCAATTGTCTACAGATGGGCATTGTATCTCCACTTCATACCTGCCCCTCCCCCCATTCACATTGAGAAGATTTTATTCTGGGTCTTAGATGCCTGACACCTGATCCCATCTACATCTCATGATCACACAGGCTGCTGTGCTTCTTCCAAGTGAACTTTGTTGCTTCTCAGCTAGATGGCCGCTTGTTTATCTTCAAGCCTTTAAGATCCAAGATGCTATATCTTTTGATAGCTGGGCACCATCAGGTTTCTTCACCACATTTATTTATGCACCCATTTTGTCTTCAGCGATCTTGTCGGCAAGGAGCATCACAGAATGCTGGATTGTTAGAAGTAAGTGTTTTATAGTTTAGGGAGTACTCGAGTTGAAGCCCAAGATCCATCTGTGCCTTATCTACTGCTAGCGTGAATATCATCTTCGGGGCTTGGTGGACCAGGATCTCCTCCCTTCCCTCTCCATCCCATTTCATTTTTCCCCTGTCCTCTAATCAGACACGCCCATCTTCCCAAGCTGTAGCCCCATTGATGTCCTCTGAAGTGCATTCTTCTGAAGGGGGAGAGGGGTGTACACATAGTTGGGATTTGGGCCAGCCCCAAAGACCTCTCTATTGTTTCCCTGGTACATGCCAGTACACTGTATTTATGCCTTGGTGCATCAGGTTGAAGGCTGGTCTCTCTATCCCTCTCCTGTGGAGATATAAACAATACCCTCCCTTTGGGTGGGTTAGTGCCCTGCTCCCCGCCCCCCCCCAACCCATGTCTTTTTTTTCTTTTTCCTTCCCCATCTTATTTAGTTGGCTGCCGTATATAATCCTGGATTGGGTTTGGCACCTGCCATAGTTTCTGGGCCTCACCCCAGGGATGTATGTGTGTAGTAGCTTTCCCCTTATGCCCCGTTTTTTTGGTTTGTTTTTTAAAATTTAATCATTTTATTGGGGCTCATACAATTCATCACAATACATAGATCAATTGTGTAAAGCATACCTATACATTTGTTGCCCTCATCATTCCCAAAATTCGCTTTCCT